AAATGTGAAAGAAGATTTAGTTTACAGTTGTCCAACTTGCTCACAAAAAGTCCAGAACATCAAATTATTTTAATCTGCTGAGATATTTTGCATTTATGTATTGTTATTGTTATTTATGAGGAGCCAACAAATTCCATAACGCTGTACAATGGGTGGACTAACAGACACGTATTTATAACCAGACAAGTTGGACGCACAGGAACAGAGGGAGTTGAGGGCCCTGCTCAATGAGCTTACTTTAATGAGTAAGTATTCTCAAAAGACATTTAAGGTGAGCAATGAAAAAAGGAGAAAACACACACCTTTCACTGTAACAAATGTTCCCTACGATGTGAATCTATTTTTAAAATCCACATCAAAGGAGTTCTCCTTCTCATTTGAAAGATGTACTTAAAATGATTGTACACCTAGAGAGGAAGACAGATTGCTGAAGACATTCAACCTCTAGGTGTGTGCCACAGACAGTAGCTGTTGCTAGGTGGATAATCTCCTGAAGATCAATTTGTTCTAGGGAAAAAGGAATACGCACCTAGCAACAGAGCCCCACCTTCCCTTTGATGGAAGTTGGTGGGATTTTTTTGTTCCTTAATGTGTGTAGTGTAAAATATGTTGGCTAATGAAACAATGGCATAGTATTGTGGTATAAGATTTAGCATCTACAAAATATAATATAAAATAACACTCAGGGTTATTAGATACATAGCAATATAAAAAAATCTCAACAAATAGTTGTTTACGAAAAACAAATATGATCAGATGCCTATTTGCTACATTGAAATTACTTCTGACTATTTATAGAAAGATAGCACAGTGTATAGGTGGATTAAAATAATCTTGACAGGTACACATTAATTTGCCTACACTGGTCAACCACAACGTTAAAACCACTGACAGGTGAAGTGAATAACATTGATTATATTGGTACAATGGCACCTGTCAAAGGGTGGACTGTATTAGAAATCAAGTGAACACTCAATTTTTGAATTTAATGTGTTGGAAGCAGAATAAAATGGGCAATTGAAAAGATCTGAGTAACTTTGACAAGGGCCAAATAATGATTGCTAGATGACTCGGTCAAAGCATCTTCAGAACAGCAAGTCTTGAGGGGTGTTCCCAGTATGCAGTGGTTAGTACCTACCTCCACTCGCTGGCCCAGAGTGTGCGCATATGCTCTGAGCTGGTGAAATGGTCCAATCACAGGTTTCTCTATGAGAAGCCTGTGACTAGACCAAACAAGGCCCCTGTGATGTCGGTAGGGGGTGTGGAAGATCAACGCTAAATTCAAGGTGAGTAAAAACTTTATTTTAGAGGTTGGAGGGCAAACGGATGGGGGAGACCTTCTCCATAGATCCCAATAGGACATTTTACACAGGGAAGGTCCCCCCCACCAAGTAACCCTTTATAAGATCTGCTGCTAATGTCTTGGTGCCAGACACCACCGGGCATGTTGAGAAGTCTTGTAGAGTCCATGCCTCAATGCATCTGAGCTGTTTTGGGGACCTACACAAGGGCCTTCAAAGGGGCATTTCCGTCCCGAATGCGCAGCCCAGCCACACACGAGACACATGAGACAGGACACCGCAATTGGAGACCAGATCAGATGAGGATTGCTTCTAATTACTGTTTTATTTGACAAAGGGATACTTTTTGAACCTCTAAACAGTTGATTGGACATCTGCCTACAAGTGAACAGATTACATTCCACAGTCCATATTTACAGCATGCATAACCTGTGGTGAGCTCCAACCATTTTTCATCAAATAATCAGAGCAATTTTTGCAGTCGTTTGAACTTTTCAGTTTTTTCATTTTTTAAATTTTTTCTTTTTCATCCTTTTTTTTTTTTTTTACCATTTCTCCTTTTTTCAAATATTTTCACTTTTGTTTAATTTTTTCAAATTTTTTGGCTTTTTTTTTCTTCATTTTTTTACAACAGAATATCAATTAGTGAATAATTATGAACTTTCAGCTTCATTCATATGGAGTCCATGGACTGTATATAGTTGTAAAAATTTTGTGATGTACATATGAAATTTTCTTACATGTATCATAGATGAATTCATAGAGAGATCATCAATCTGTATGTTTGGCAATTGTGGTCTTTTTTTCTTCCTTTTTTCTATTTCTAGGAATTTGGTGTATTTAGTGTACAATAAATACATTTTTGCAGACTTACAAATTGATTTTTTTTTTCTGATGCATATTTTTATGCATGTGAGTGCGGTATTAATCGATATATTTCTTCCTACACAATATTTAATCAGGTGGTTTTAATGTTGTGGCTGATCAGTGCACAGTCTTGATGTCTCTTTGCATGTATTTTAGCATAATCCAGACATGAACTAAGAGGAAATTGAAAACATTTGTACGTGACCATTCATGAGTGTCTCAGTAACTAAAAGTGATATTTTTGACCAGGTAATATTATATATCTCTTTCTGAACTATACAGATATGTGACTATGGGATCTAGTATACCCTACCGACTTCAATCCAGTATATAATCAATAAATATACGATATAATGTGAGTGTTCTTTGTAAATTGGTCTAAAACATATTTTTTCAATTTTATATTATTACGGTGACTTGAAGTGGAGCTGTGACATCCTGTTCTTTTTTTTTTTTTTCGTACAACCTGGTAGCTAACAACCTACAGGCTTTGCTATGTTTTTGTTTTTAAAAAAAAAAATCAGAACCACTTTTATATTTTGATTTTAATTAGATGCCAGGTTGACTTGGCATGACCAGAGCATACTATGCAATTTAATGTAATCCTCACAGTGTCACACATACTTACATTACTATGTGGACATTTCTCTGCAAATGACCAATCATACATTAGCGCGCTGTGTGCCCCAAACGAGTAAATGCTAGACTTGTAGACAAATGTGTATCAGAAGAACAAATCATATTCTTTTGAATCTATGCCGAACTTATTAATCCATCCACAATTAATTGTGGAGTCTTATTTGTTGGTACCAGGTGCAACGCATTTGTGCACAAGTCTAAATACTGCTGAGGTGTGTTTTTTTAACCCCTTAAGGACCAAACTTCTGGAATGTGTCCTTAAGGGGTTAATTATCTCAATTGGGCTCACCCTGTTAGAGTAGGATTTAATGGTTACTCCAATCACCATGACAGTCTTCTTTTAGAAGTGGTCATGGTGGTAGGAGTCTGAATATGCAATGTATCAGATTGAAACACTGCACTAACAGAGTTATTTGCAATTATGTGATGGGGCAATTTACAATCCAGCACACGTAACTTAGGCAGTCTGGTCCAGACTGCCTAATGTCAATTCAGTGCATATTTTACATCTGTCGTCAGAAGCCCTGCACTCAGGCCACAGTCATTCCCTGCTTCTTTTTTTGTAGGCAAAGCCTGCAAAGGGGAAGCTTGTGTCTGCCGTACCTCCCTAACTGCAGTCCTCTCGCCTCCCTATAATATCCGCTATTTGTTTTATCTCCCGCCCTCACTCCTCTTACTTTCTCTCCCCACTTCCTCTCCCTTCGCTGGCTGAGAGTGCATGCATGCATGCGCTCTGAGCTGGTAAATGCTCCTATTAAAGGCTCCTTTGACTGGACCACTGCGCAGCTTCTGTGACATCACAAGAAGGTGTGCCGAGTAACTCTTTAACATCGCATAGGGCTCTCGGCAGGTTACCAGTTTATTCTTCACTTAGCGATAGTAAATGGGGCCGAACAAATTAATGAATCCACAGGCCCTGTCGAAACCCCTGGGCCCTAGGACTATAGGGGCACCTTACAGTTACAATTAAATAATGATTAGTTTGCTGTTTAAAAGTGACTTGAAAAATGTAGGCTTTTAAATAAAAACATAGAGAGAGAGACTTACAGATGGACAGAGAGAGATTAATAGATAGAGATTGATAGATAAATGATAGATAGATAGATACATAGAAATAGATAGATAGAAATAGATTGATTGACAGATAGATAGAAAGAAATAGATAGTTAGAGATAGATTGATTGATAGATAGAAAGAAATAGATAGAGATAGATAGAAATAGATTGATTGATTGATAGAAATAGATAGTTAGAAATAGATAGATATAGATAGATAGATATATAGATAGAAAGATATATATATATATAGATAGATAGAAATAGATATATAGATAGATAGAAATAGATATATAGATAGATAGAAAGAAATAGATACCGTAGTTAGAAATAGATAGATATAATAGATAGATAGACAGATTTTCCAGTGTCTGCCATACAGACATAAAATGTTATTATTCTTAGTACAACTCGCTGTTTAGTGAATTGCACTCTGGAGAAACGTGTGAAAGTGATAATGAATGGTTTGTGCGATGAATGGAGTTATGATAAGTGATAAATAATGATTGTGACACACAGTAAGACAGGGAGATGGTGCTGATTATATGATTAATCATTTCTCAGTCAGTTCCCCCTGGAGACAATGATTTGTTTCTCTCCTGTCCTTCCCTCCCTCCTGTCTCCCCCGGCCGTGCCGCCATCCCAGCAGCCTTTCCCGGGCTGAGGCGCGGGCCGAGCGGCGGGCATGGACAGCGCGAGCCGGGCGGGCTCATTCACTGGCCAACGGCTGCGCACCGTGTGTGTAAGGAGCAGAGGGGGACAAGAGGGCGAGAGAGGCAGACGGAGTCCGACACCTGCGCTGAGGACTTTTATTTTACAACAGCTGGAACTTTGCACTTGTACGGCCCCCCCGTCCACCCCAAGGGAGCAGGGCAGACCGGCACACAGGGAGCCTAGCAGCACCGAGTTATCACCTCAGGCTGCCAGGTCTTACTGACGGGATGACTGACATTCACCCGCGGCCGCCCATTTTGCCGGTCTGAGCTCAACTTTCAAAAACGCGACGGTTTAACCTGTCAGCTTGCTACCGGGCACGTACCATCGCCAACGTTCTGAGGGGGGGTCTGTTTTAGAACATCAGGGAGCAAACTACTGCTATTCGGCGCAGATTTGGTACCTGGCCAGCGGTTACGGGAGCATCGAAGGATCTGTCACCCCTTTAGAGAGGGGAGCACTTGGACGCGTCAGTGGAAGATTGAGTGGAGAGGGGCTGCGTGCAGCTTCCAAGCTCAGAAGGAGCAGGTGCTCAGCCCCGGTGCATGGTGTGCTGCAGCCCTTCAATCCGCACTGTCTGTATATGTCAAGTACACTGAGCAGCGTATATAGCACCGCACACTGTCCTGTATAACACCACCACCACTGCTGGAGCACCCCGCTGCTCGCTCATTAAAACATTTGGGTGTCGAGCCAGTAATTGAGGCATTGCACTGGGAGGCAATGAGAGCACCAGAGGCCTTGGAAAGGGCACTTTGAGCGGGTACAAAGGCGGATCTGTTGGGGGCAGGGGGTGAGGTGTTACAGAGGAGGAGGAGGAGGAGGGGAGGATGATGAGCCCGAGCTCCCCGGCGGCCCTGCCCTGATACTGACCCGGGACACGCACACTGCGCATGCGCCGCGCTGGACAGCTCCTGAGAGGGAAATTTAAAAACGGTTTGGGGGCAGAGAGACAGCACACACTACAAAGAGAAGAGGATCAGCCAGCACCCACCCAGACAGTGCTCCCCAACCCAACCAAGCCAGGTACCCGGCCCCCACCACTGCACACAGCACAGCACTGCTAATATATACTGAATTATTATACTGAGAGTGCTCACAACAATAACAACAACAACAACAATAATAATATTATCATCATATTACACTCATAGTCACTCACATACTGTATGCAATAATGTGGGTATATATCTACACATATGTTAATGTTAATTTCTATATATACATCTGTCTAGAGGCTTATATGAGCTGGTATTACTGGTATAGCTTTCAGTTATATCAATACTATTTACATACAAAGAAAATGCATAGCTGTTTATTAAGTAATTTCACTGATGCTTTTTGCCTACCACCTTTTTTTTGTGTGGGCGGGGGGAAAAAATTGGCCTTTTTAAAGTGTTACACAGATTCATGGAAATATTAATAGACGTTTTTAGTCATCAAATGGTTTGGACTTTTCTTTGCATAATTTTAATATAAATAAATAAAATGGAGGTGCATGTGCAATAAAATGAAGTTCAAGCTATTTTCTTATTCACTGTTCTATTTGAATTGGAATATGTCATGTTTTTGTTACAATTGTGCAATATATATACATACAATATGAGGGTGGTTTGGGCAATATTGTGCCATTTTATTATAACATACATGAATAGTAATAAGAAGTATTATTAATACAATATTTGCTTGTTATCCCAAAAAAGGAGATGATAGACAGTGACGTCTCTGCCATTATGTCTGGGATAATAAGAACATCAGAGCAAAACCATCACCCTCCAAATCAAGAATACAGGTACTATATAACAAACATTGGTGTAATTGGCAAATGTAATAAATTGTACAAATATAATTATCTTGAAAAATCCCAGCATACCTTTCTTTTTTAAAAATATGACACATTGTATTCAATTTTTTTTTTGCATGCAGCAAACTGGGTTAAGCAATTTTAAGGCATGATATATACAATATTGTTATTTTGCATGGTTTATGATTTGGTGTTAGTGTTTAGGTTTTTGAAGAATGATGAAGATTTTTGTAAACAGTAGATCTACTATTATTTGTAGAATGCGATCAAGTGTATGCACTAAAATATAGATCACTGGTACAGTAATCAAATTCAAACTTTAGGCTAACATTTCTGAATTGAAAACACATCAGTCTTGTTTTTTTTTCTCAAACAAATGTTTTGACCTAAAAATTGAAATTAACTTTAAAATATTTTTGTATTCACACCTATTTACACTTAAGTAAATAACTCACCCAGTCTTAATTTTGTCCATATGCGCTGTCTTTTTATTGTGGTGCTCAGACATATTCAGATTACAGTACGTTTGTGGTAATTTTATTTTGAAAATTAATTTTGTTGTTCAGAAGCTGATGGCTTGAAATTCTTATGTTTTATTTTTCACCTAATTAACTGCTGGATGGTTGTTTTATCTCTTGGTGCTTTTTAATCACAGAAGTTTCATTCATATTATGTATCTGACTTGTCCACAAACCACGTTTTGAAAAGCATTGTGGTACCTCATGGGTCTGGGGCATCCCTAGGAGACAAAGGTTATCCAGCTGTTGCTGGAATACAACGCATGTGATTGGCTGGAGATAGTGGGAGTTATAATCTAACAGCAGCTAAAGGCCTGCAGCTGTCCATCCCTGCTGTGGAGTCCGTTAATCTTCTGCTTCAGAGCAGGTCTTTCACATAAGTATGCTCAGCGCATACATGGCTTGCATGTAATAAAAATCCCCAATCCACTGTTGTAATCCCTGCAGCACAAGGAAGGGCATTTTAGGAGAACATTTGACCCACTGATTTCATGGGTCATTTTGTAGAACCGAAAAATCACTTCACAAACTATCACAACAAAAATGTTCTGCAGATGCACACAACAATAGAAAATATTGGTGTTACGTGTACACAGTAATTCTGGAGCAAAATTATACAAGCAGATTCCACAGCAGGAACATTCCATTGGTTTCCATGGTGAGGACCAGTTTTTTGTGTCCCTGAGTTGTTCATGTACAACTGCTAGTTCTCACATGAAGTAATTCTTTGTAGATAAGTATGTGTCTAGTCATGCGTCTGTGGAAATGGGAATGGGCCTGCTTACTGCTGCAACCACATGATGTAGCACATCTTACATGATGGGCAGTGTGTATACGGATGACCATGAAAACACCTTATGGCTAGTCCACCACATTTAGATAATATGTCTGAGCTATGAGCTTGCAGCAGATATAAGTTTAAAGGGTTATTCACTAAAGTGAGAATTCAAAGTGGATTCAAGGAGAATTTAAAATTTTAGGGCAAAGTAGCCAAACGGAAAGCATAAGTGAGTTAAAGATTGTTTCTAATTGGCTATTTTGGCCTTAAAATTAAAATTCAATTAAAATTCTAAGTTCCGTAAAGAACCCGCTTAAATAGTAGTTTCATATATGTTTTTAATTGATCCCTATATGTATGAAGATGAGTTTGGGGCAATGTGGAACTTGGAGTGACCTTTGGTTTCCATGGTCAGTGCGGGAAATGCTACTTTTGCTTTTCATACAAGATGGAACACTGTATTGATCATTTCTGCTCTTACAAAGTTTTGGATCACCCTACAGTTTAATATAACAAATCCTAATGCTTAGTTTTAGCAATTGAACTGAATAATAATGAACAAACAATGTACAACAACACACACACAAAAAAAAATTAATTAATAAATACTCGTATAAATTTCCCATATTTGCTGGAAATCTGCATATTTTGAGGGGGCCAGTAAGTGGCTGTCCTGTAGTGATTATGGTGCCATGAGACCTCCAGCACCTTCCCACAGTAAGTAGTCAAGCTGTTATTTTGAATTGAGTGCCTCTGTTCCGGCCTTGTCTTCAGATATATATAAATCAGAAGTTTCTCGTCCACATTAGAGATGTCAAGTTAATCCTAATTTGAAAGGAAAGTATGACCTGAGACTATCAAATGACACTCACAGACCGTTAATTCCATCCAAACACAGTTGGAATTGGAACCACTAAAGTGGAAGTAGTGACGTCTGCATTAGCAATATAGTCTAGCCCAGGGGAGGTTTTAGAGCATATGAAAATAGTATGACTACTTATCCTGGGATGGTGTCATAGATGTCCTGGTACAATAACCACTTCAGTGTGCTGCACTTGTTATGGTGCTTAGGCTAAAGCTCTTGATGCTTTGTATGCATTTTGCTACTTCATGCCTTTCCTGAGCTATACAATCATCCTTAAGGGAGGGGGAATTAAATGGAAAATATTCTGATTTCAATGCAAACCTGGCTCATAAAACAGAACTGTATATATTAAAAAACTTGAGGATGAATTGCTATACAGTAAAGTGTGATGAACTGATCAAACTGCAAATTATTTGACAGAAGGCAAAAGCTGATTCAGGAGCGTTTCTATCTTAGCTATATATGACTCACTTCATTTAAACCCTTTCCATCATCTAATAGTATATTTCTTGCCACAAGCTCTGTCTCAAAATATTGTTTAGACTATTGCTAGACTAATTGTGTCACTGAAATAAATGATCTACAAATAGAAACTTAGTACACAATCATGAAATAATTAGAATTCTTATTACAATATTAGTAAAAAAAAATAAAATAAAAAAATAGATAAAATTGCGCATTTACAGAAAGAGTAAATATGTAAATTTTTCACAATAATTGTGAAAAAGGCACTCTTTAAAAATATTATACAACATGGATAATGCAATTATTATGTTAAAAAACACACCAGAATAACAGAAGGTAAAAAAAATATACTCATATTTGAAGTTGCCTCATTTGCAGGCAGTCCTGTCGAATAGAGGCTATAGGTGTCTAATATCTAATATTGGGTATGGATAAAGGCCTGACTAGCAGATTTCAAAGCTGTATATGCGCAACTTCTTTCTGCTTAGAGCAAGGGTTTATGGCACTTGAAGTTCAGTTATCAGCTTTCTAGTTACAAACTAAGTTAGCTCTATCAACTTCCACAGACCCAACTAGAAATTACAACTGTGTTATTGGAGACACATTGTCTTTTGGGAAGGAAGAGTAAGAGAGTGGCATCATATACCCAATACAGTAACCAGTAAGAATTAAGTATTTTTGTATGGAGGGTAAAGAAAAGTTTAGAAGGGGTATCGTTAAGATGGTGAATGCTGCAAAACTGTTTTTTCTTTGTAAAACAAAAATATACATAGAACCGAAAATGGAAAATACAGCTACTTATTTAGAACAAAAAGTATAAAATACATAAAAGTTGTTTTGGTGTCTGGAGTTTCCCTTTAAGTTCATCTCTTATAATAGAAGAGTTATATAGGAGGCTAATGTATCCAACACCTAATAAACTAGGTCCAGTCACCAGCAATTTTTATGACTAATTTTAGAAACTTATTTATTAAGAACATTTTTTTTATCTTCTGAGTCTGTATTCATATTAAATATTTTACTAACCAGCTGGAACAGTTTGCCTTTATTTAGCCTCTGTGCTTTCCAGGCTATGGTACAGTGATTGAAATGAATGATCATTTGTTGATCTATGTATATTCATCTGCTGCTGCATTACATCTTATGTATTTTATAGTAGTTTGAATATAAATGGTGCTCTGCAATTGAGTGTTTTGATTTATTTGTTAAGCTGTTTAGTTTTTTTTTTCTCTTCTTATGCTTAGTATAAAGGGACATTTATCCTCACACGTAGAGAGCTTCTTTTGTTTTTACTTATTTTTCTTATAGGAATTTGCAGCCTTCCCATTATTTATTTGTTTGACATGTACATTGAGGCAGTAGTTTATTAGCTATATTTACCATTTGTCCAGTAGAACCACGTATGGGGCCATTCTGCACTGGTATGTCTAGAATGGCACTTCATTATATGCCTACCTCTATTATTTATTGTAAACTCTTTTGTTAAAAGAACACTCTTACTGAATTCACATACCCAACAACACTGGACATAGGTAATTTTAATTATTGGATCTATGTTAACTGGAGTCCCTAGTGGTGTGGACATTACATAATGTAAACAGTGCACAGTTTGCAAAGCTGCAGGGACAATGCTATGCCTCCAAATCACTTACTTAAGATTTAATGATTTTGGTGCGCAGACTGCCCCTTTAATCTGTCATGCTGTATTCTAATCTCAATACTTAGATGTTTTTATAAAGAGACATAGTGGTTAAAGACCAATATATCCTTTTACAAAGGTGGTCCTCCCATTACAATACAGTGTGATGCCATGGATTAAATGGGAATTCAGTATTGACACACATGCTTAGTTATGAAGAAGGCTTTGGTAGGTGATGTTGCTTCTAAGAGCATGTTTCATTGTGATTTTCCTGTTATTCCAATACATTATTCTTTTTACCATGGTCTCATAGCAGTCAAGTAATTAAGGACACAGGCGATGGAACATTTAAAATGAGAAATTACAATGCATTAGCCCCTGACAAAAGGTTAGGCAGATCCAATTATAGCATGATGGCTCTAGCACAACTTCTGTAAAAAAGCAGTTAAATTAAGTTGCTGACTATTTTATTAATTCCTTATAGATTATTTATTTAAATAAAATATTTATGTTTTCTAAATACAGAATGTAAGTTCATTTAACATTTCCATGGTGCCTTAAAGGACCACTATAGTGCCAGGAAAACATACTCGTTTTCCTGGCACTATAGTGCCCTGAGGGTGCCCCCACCCGGCTCTGGAAAGGGGAAAAGGGGTAAAACTTACCTTTTTCCAGCGCTGGGCGGAGAGCTCTCCTCCTCCCATCCTCCTCTTCTCCTCCCCGTCAGCTGTATGCGCACGCGCGGCAAGAGCTGCGCGCGCATTCAGCTGGTCACATAGGAAAGCATTCATAATGCTTTCCTATGGACGCTGGCGTGCTCTCACTGTGAAAATCACAGTGAGAAGCACGCAAGCGCCTCTAGCGGCTGTCAATGAGAAAGCCGCTAGAGGAAATAGGGGAAGGCTTAACCCATTCATAAACATAGCAGTTTCTCTGAAACTGCTATGTTTATGAAAAAATGGGTTAACCCTAGCTGGACCTGGCACCCAGACCACTTCATTAAGCTGAAGTGGTCTGGGTGCCTAGAGTGGTCCTTTAAGTGCAATATGTATAGAGGACCTATTAGATAATAGTCCAACAAATGTTGGTTATTGGTTGTATATTTGTAACCTAAAATAATGCACCTCATATGTGAGACTGTCAAGGCACAGGGGACAGTGCTTGCATGTAACTTTTTTCAACTTTTGATTGTTTTTTACATTTACTTTGCTGCACAATTCATTACAGAAAAATGGTTAATTCATATTCACTGTGGTGAGTAAAAAGTGTTATGTCACCAACTGAGATGTGCCGGGTTCTCATCGTGCCTCAATAAATTAGGTAGCTAAAGTTGATCAAATGTTCTACCAATGACCATGTTGCAATAGCTATACAAGTTTTGCACAGGGGCAGGTTAACAAGATGTAGGAATATATCCACAAAAGTCTAACATATTTAAAGTCAGATAATGTCAGTTCACATGGCTTAATACTGGCACACACTGATGCTATTTACAAGATCCAAGTATGGGAAGAGAAACAAACATGACATCATCTAAATGTATAGGGAGAGAAGCAAACATGACATCATCTAAATGTATAGGGAGAGGAACAAACAGGACAGCATCTAAATGTATAGGGAGAGAAGCAAACATGACATCATCTAAATGTATAGGGAGAGGAACAAACAGGACAGCATCTAAATGTATAGGGAGAGGAACAAACAGGACAGCATCTAAATGTATAGGGAGAGGAACAAACAGGACAGCATCTAAATGTATAGGGAGAGAAGCAAACATGACATCATCTCAATGTATAGGGAGAGGAACAAACATGACATCAGCTAAATGTATAGGGAGAGGAACAAACATGACATCAGCTAAAGTCACATTAAGCTGCCCTTGCCGTTACTGTCCCCTATTCTTGATTTGGTGCAAGTCAATACTTGAAAATAAGTGAACAAACTAACCCTTTTTTGTTAAAAAAAAATATTTTAAATAATTCTCTGCTAGTGCTATGGAAAAGCAGAGATTTTTTATATCCCTTTTGAAAATGTAGCACTTCGGTAATAAGCAACGTAACGTGAACCTTCTAAATCGAAAACTTAATGCGAGCTTTCTCTAAATTTCTAACAAGTGAACAGTTTAATTGGAGATCACTATGGGAAGATTATGTGTGGTCTTGCACATAACTACCCTTCAGACTCCCCCCACTACCTCTTTAGCATGCTCTCCAGGCAAATGTTTACTTTAACCCCCTCAATTTTTTTCTGCATCACCTCCTTTCTGAAAGAGACACATTCTTCTTATTGTGCTAAAAAATGTCCCTGTTTCTTGATGCTGTGCCTAAATAGATCTTGCAACAAATGTTACAAATACCCTTAGAGGTACCAAGCCTCTTTGGAGTCCCAATATCATTTTAATGCATATCTGGGAATACATAACTAACACAACATCAAAATTTAAAAAATGAGTTATAAAAAGAACTGTTCACAAACTTATAACATGTACCTCGTTAAACTATATCATGACAACTGGACATATTTGAAAACACAGTAAGTTGATTACAAAGAAAAACTGTATGGCAAAATGTTCAAAGTGTAGCAATCAGCAGACGCATTCATTAGGTTTGCATGGTGACTGCTGCACTTTTAGAATTTCACCCCAGAATTACACTTCATGTTCTAAAAGTGGAGCAGTTGCCCTAGGAACCAGTGGAATGTTTCTGCTGAGAGCTTTGCCCCAGAAATACTCTGTATGCATTACCCTGTCCTCATGGCAGTGGTTGTTATTATAAAACAAATATATAAATATAGAATACTCCAATCCCTATTTCATATTGCAAATGGTTGAAATATATTAAATCCTACAAAAAAACACCCCCTCCATTTTAATCTTTACATACCCATCCCTATATACACACAGGATATGTATTTATTCATGTAATCTATTTGACCACAAAATGGTTGTACATAGGCAATTTGCTAAATTGAGGCAGCAAATGGTTAACCGAACTGAGAATATTGTGTCCAGTACAGCCTGCCTGCAAAAGAGAACAGTCTTTTTTATTTCAGCATACATGACAATGTGTTCACTATACCAACAGCAAACAATCACAGTGCTTCATGAGAAAAAAAAAGCTCAAATAACAGGTTTTTGTTTTTTCATTGAGTCTGATGTAGGGAAGAATAGAACTGTCACTTTGTATGAGTGCTGTTTACACTTGCCCTGTCACTACAGCACATGACAGGACTGTGCAATCCTGAAGATCACGGCAGGAGTGCAGTACAGTCCCACAGAACAGGGCTAAGAGAATGGCTCCCAATTAGTGAAAGAGGGCTGTGTGAATTTGCCTCTTTGTAGAGAACTGTTGGAGAACAGAGACTTCTGGGAACAGTCACACCAAATTTGGGGTACTGTTAGTGAGGCATTAACCATTTCAGTGTTGGAAGTGAATAATGCATATAGAAAAAGTAGTGAACCACCACTCATGGTGCCATTTCTCCTGTTGTCATTTGCAAATGCAAGGTGAGTGAGATACCTGTATATAGATATATCAATCAGTTTTTTTCAATACTGCTGTCTGGTTTTATCAGTTGCCAAAAATATTGCGCTGCATTATTCATCGTACAGGTCAATACAGGAGATGTGATGCTATATATGGGAGCAGTAAATATTATTTTAAAACACACAGATACAGAGAAAAAAATACAATCTAAAGTACAAAGTGAAATCAGCCCACTCATTAATGAAGTAATTATTAGACTTGTGGATTTCGTTTTGGTCAAACTGAAATTCATCTGAATTGCGTTTGCTTCAAGATTCAAAGTTCAGTCCTATTCGCCCAAAAAATGGTTGATTGGAAAAAAAATAATTGATGGCTAGGGAGCTGCTAGTACATGTTGGTTTTATTTACAGATCAATTGACAAGTGGCCGATAGAGGGTAGCAGTAAAAATATTTATATATTATATATTTAATAAATATATGTAATATATAAATATAGATTTTTGTTTACTGCTCCTTTTTACCTAATTTGGTTACTTTTTCTAAATTGACCTGTAAGCCAAATGGCAGGAAATGTGCCTACCATAACATGATATTTATATTATTTATATATTTTGCAATACATTGACTGGCCCAATTTTGAACCCTTTTTCTTTGTCCAAATCATTTATCCAAAAAATTTAGTTTGACAATATTTGGAGATGCCAAATTGTCAAAAGGTCCTAAACCGAATTTCATTTTTAGAAAATTTGATTCGACTGAACCACATTTTTCTTACGGTTTCTAGAAAGTATAAAATAAAAATTAGACAAAATCAGAAGAAAATATTCTAGTGTAGCAACACGGAATTAAAATGTTGACTTATTAATTAAATGTATTTACCCTGGACTTTGGTGCAATAGCCATGGGGTAGTGGTTTTATGTGAAATCTTAGTAAACCATAGCAAGCTACATTTTGATCTATAACATGTTCAAGTTAGTTCTAAAGTTCTGTAATTAGGACTCAAAAATTTAAATTCTGAATCACATGGCTTCAAGAGTATAAGTCAAGTCTACACTGGGATTTAAGTACTGCGACCAACAGAAAGGTTGAATGTCTCTGTCAGGCCCATGCCTTCAAATGTGTAGGAGAAAAATATATACACTGTATACACACACCTCTTAATTATTGAATTCAGGTGTTTCAATAAGACCCAATGCCACATGAGTGTAAAACCAAGCATCTAACCATGTAGTCTGTATTTACAAACATTTGTGGGAAAAATTGGTTGTTCTGAAGAGCTCAGTGAAATCAAGTGTGGTACTGTGATAGGATGCCACCTTTGCAATAAGTTAGTTTGTGAAATTTCATCCCTGCTAGATATTCCATGGTCAACTGTAAGTGGTATTATTGGAAAGGGGAAGTGTTTAGGAGCAACTCTGCCAAGTGTAACTCTGCCAAGTTACAGAGCGGGGTAACGGAGTGCTGAGGCTATGGTGCGTAAAAGTCCCAACACTGCTGATTCCAGACTTCCACTCTCATTAATATCAGCTAAAAAAACTGAGCGTCATGAGCTTCATGGAATGGGTTTCCATGGCTGAGCAAGTGCATGCAAGCCTCAGATCACCAAGTACAATGCCAAGCGTCGGATCAAGCCACCACTTGTCTCTGGAACAGTGGAAACGTGCTCTGTGGATTGACAATCATGCTTCTCTGTTTGGCTGTCAGATGAGCGAGTATGGGTTTGGTAGAAGTAATGAGTGTTATTTGTCTGACTGTACTGTGCCAACTGTAAAGTTTGGTGGAGGACTGATAATGGTATGGGGCTGTTTGTCAGGGATTGGGCTTCCAGTGAAGAGAAATCAAAATGCTTCAGCATACCAAGACATGGGCAATGCTATGCTTTGTGGGAACAGTTTGGGGAAGTCCCTTTTCTATTCCAGCATGACTGTGCCCCAGTGCACAAGGCGAGGTACATAAAGTCATGGTTGGGTGAGTTGTGCGTGGAAGAACTTGACTGGCCTGCACCAAGCCCCACAACCATTGGAGTGAACTAGAAAAGAGATTGCAAGCCAGGCCTTCTTGTCCAACAGCAGTGCCTGACCATGCAAATGCTCTACTGCATTAATGGGCAAATATTCAAACAGAAACACTCCAAAACCTTGTGGAAAGCCTCACAGAAGAGTGGAAACTGTTATGGCTGCAAAGGGAGGATTAACTACAAATGAATGTTTATGTATTTAGAACAGGATGTCATAAAAGGCCATGTGTACCAATACATTTGTCTATATAGTGCATTTGTCATTTTGGTTTCTAGGTTAGAGGGTATCTTTTTAATTCATGTGCTATTGGATGATATACGTATTGCAGATCATAACAAACTACTACTTACTACAATGCTGATATGCTGGATTAAGTATAAATAGTAATGCTAAACTAAAGAACTAAAGTTCAAAGTCAGTCAGCAAGAAAATTGTGGTTGATCACTTGAAAAGGTAATTCTTTTTTACATATAGTTTATTGTGTGCCTTCAGTCCATTAAGAATCTGTATTCTTACCGTTTTAGTGTCTGTAGTTAGATAATCCCTCCTGTGTAGGATTTTTACTGCCTCCTTCATGGCATGGCCCCTTCCAATGCTCTTCCTAGAGGAGAATTGGGTACCTAATGTGCATGTGCCACAAATGCATCTAAGTTTCCCCATAGGAAAGCATTGAATCATTGCTTTTCTACAGGGGCTTCCACATAACGAGTTTTTCTCGGTCAGTGCCACAATAGTGCCTCTATTTATTTATTTAAAATGTATTAATCTGATTATTTTGGAGCTGAAAGGTTCATTCATATTGTTTAAGCATTTTGTTCAACAGTATTACAATCATAGCACAAGGCAGCAGTAGAGGCATACTAACACAAAATACCAAAACGCATTTCTCAAAACCCCAAAATCTTTCAATTAATTTAGGAATAATGCTAATCAAACATGAGAAATTATCTGGCAAGGTCAACAGAGAAAAGCTGTTAAGGTCACATTCAGCCACTCAGCTGTGCAACCAGCATATTTCTGTTTAAGCTACTGATTCATATAAGCATAGTTAACATATTCAAAATAATTATATATATATATATATATATATATACATACAACATACAGGGTTTCCTTGCACTCACGCTTGTAGACAGTTGTAAGCCGGGTGCTTGTAATCCAGGGAAAAATTGCATATGGTGAAGTAGTGATCAGCACTCTCGGACTTTTGTTGAGTTTAAAACTTACAGTTTATTGAAATTCCATTTAAAAGATCAACGTTTCAGTTCCTATCTGGAACTTTCATCAGGATCAAACATGAGATAAGATGTTTGATCCTGATGAAAGTTCCAGATAGGAACTGAAACGTTGATCTTTTAAATGGAATTTCAATAAACTGTAAGTTTTAAACTCAACAAAAGTCCGAGAGTGCTGATCACTACTTCACCATATATATATATATATAGTAAATATTAAATTGTTCACCAGGAATGTGTCTACTATGCTGCAGATAAACTAACACAGTATAAAACATATGACATAAACCACCCAATATAAATGTATACAAAGTTGCCGCATCAGTGATTGAGGTGATAATCAGCTGACATACAATAATTCCAAAATCAAGTAATGAGTTCCTTGACCAGTCTGATATGTTTCAGATATGTTCTCTCTGTAATGGCACAAGATAAGCTAAAACCAGCTTGAGTTCTGAGCGGGGACCCACCGAAGGGCAGGCTATTTCAGCTGCTGTCCGTTCTCAGAATACTCTTGCTACCCGTTTTTTGCTCTCAAGTAATGAGTTCCTGTTCATTCAGGATACAGGTTCCTAATTTAGAATTATTGCACAATATTTGTATTAGTAGCTGTATACATTTTGTTCACAGATACGGAGACTATATTACATTACGATCCAGTTTCTGATAAAAAAAATATTTTAGTTGTATGAGGATGCATAATCTTAACCAATGTGATTATCTGCATAGTTGTCCTAAAGATATGCCAAATACCAATTTGTAGCAGAACAAAGGACCATATTAACAGTTTGCTTTATTTTGACAATAATATAAATATCCCTCTTGAATAGATGATTTTACAAGCAAAAGTTACAAAGTTATCCACCGATCTAAATGGACTGTTTAAGCACTTACATTTAAAGACTTTTGCTAGGAAAATGACCGATGACAGGAGGTGTACGATGAGAATCTGACTCTTAACACCCCCAATATGATCTTTCCATTTGTTTAAACCAAATTCTGAACTAGGCCTTTCAGGCCAGTAGACACCAGGCGAGTGGCAGATGGCACTTTTTTTGTACGTTGCTTGTCTCCTGTCATTCGGATAAATTAATGCAGGGTCTGCAAATAGGGGCAGGGAAAAGAGGGGGTGTGTATGGAGGAGGGTGAAGAAAAAGAAAAAAAAAACAATTAAGCTAAAAAACAATAGAGACACGTGCCAGCCAGCTCTAGCCGTTTGTAGACACAATGGAGCAATCGTCTTTCAATAACAGAACCAACTGTTGCAAGCCTGCTAGCTCTGTCCAGCTTTCAAATGATGGTGTTTGATCTTGTTTGTTTATGATTGAGCCAATGGGAGAGATGGAATAGGGGTCAGCTGGCCCTTTCTTCCTGTCATTACAGTGCTTCACCCTACAAATTAAGAAAGGGGCATTGTATAAGACATAGACACTGCGGACTGTTTGACTGCAGTAGCAGGTGCATAGCATGCAGATAAAATTTATATATATATATATATATATATGTATATATATATATATATATATATATATATATATATATATACACACACAGAAATATCTTGATGAGTTCATGGTGGAGAAAGGAAAATGTGAATTGGATTGTGGAAACAAAAATATAATTAAAATGAAAAAAACACATTTTGATTGCATTTGATTTTTACAATATTAATATGTAACCAGTTACACATACATATATACATGCGCATTTATATTAGTTAGTTTAATGCTTACTAAAACGAGAGAGAGAGAGAGAGAGAGAGAGAGAGAGAAAAAAAAGAAAAAGAAAGAAAGAACACTCATGCTTTAATATTGAAGCAGATTTAAGCATTAAATAGAGTGGATCAACGTTTCAGTCCTGTAACAAACATTTCATTTTGAGTACATATGATTCACTGGACAAGTCTTATAAGTGCTCTTCATTATTTTTCTATTCGTTAACCAGAATTTTTTAGAACCAACACAAGTTACTCTTTTGTGCAGACATTGAGTGTGGAATGCCCCTTGTGTATCATTTGTTGTGTTCCTTACAGGGCATTATTGTCATACTTCAGCATTTTCCCCAAAAAATACAAAATACATATTTACAAAGTGTAGAAAAAAAAAACCCAAAAAAACTATTTCTTTGATTAATTGTTCTACTATATCATCTAGATATAAAAAAAAGTGATTTGCTTGAATTTCCATGTGAAACCAATACGATCATTGCTATTTAATATACATTCGTTAATCCTAGAATTAGTAGTTCTTCAACATTTTGTGACATAGATGATCTGTATGGCATTAGCTTGGGGAACCATGTTAATATAATAAATTATAAAATATGTTTTAAAAATAACTTTCATTAGACTGCTATCATTATGTCGAAGGTTTCCATTGCATCATAAAAGCAGTGATGCTACATTCAAACATTTGTGAACAGACACCGGGGGACCAGGATTAACATGGATTGACATGTTCCAAGCAATATCGACACACTAACATAGAACAGGGCTCTAATTTGTAGTATTAACCCAGTGATTAAGTACCACTGATCTGAATGAAGGCCAGCTATCACAGAAAATATAGTTTAAAAAAATTCTGCAGACATGGCTATGCATCTTGCAAAATTACTTCACAAACCTTTTAAGTACCAATATTATCAATCAACACATTAGGGCTCAAAAACTGAATGGCTTCTCCTTTTTTAATAGAGGCCCTTGTATTGTCACATGTAAAGTGCATGTATCTGCCAATTGTATTATTAATTTTTAAGTAGCAATATAAATAACACTAGTCTGTACAAACAGCTATGTGGCACAAACCCAAATGTCCCATGGTTACAACCATAGATAACATTGTAAACAATATCATTTGTTGGCAACACTCACTGCCTTAAACAAACAAGGAAACTATAACAGAAGCATTCATCTTGACTTCTATTATATAACGAGTACTCCTAGAATTATTAATGCACAATTATACATTGATTGGTAGCAGTCAAACTACTATTGTTCTGTAAAACTACTGCCCTTTATGAGGATTTTTAACATTGTAGAATAATGGGAAGATATAACCCGTGGAAACAAAGATGCTGGTAGATATCAAAACGCATGTCAATAATATTTTGACAGAGAAGGGTTTGAAACATAAAGTGACATTCCATCTGCTATCAATAAATACGGGACAACCTTAAAACAGTAGACTAGATCCTCAATGACCTTCCATGTTTCTCCCCACAGACTAATGACGACAGACCCCAACCAAATACGAGGGGACGATCTTCCCAATGACCTGCAATCACTGTCATGGCTGACTTCTGTAGATGTCCCCAGGTTGCAGCAGATGACAAGTGGAAGAATGAACTACAGCCTCACGTCAGAGAATTCAGTAATGGACCAGCAAGGTGAGTACAGAAGTTAATCGAACATAAATACCCGCTGGTTTATGGTAAATTCAAAAACACAGACCATAGATAAAGCAGGGAGCTTCTGAAAACTATCACATTGATGTTATATATCTCATTTTTTGTAGCATGTTGTTGTATAATTGTACATTATTAAAACAACGCTACCAAACTTCCCGGTATCATAACGCCTCTATGCTTGCTGCTTACACAATAGCCAGTATCCCTGGTCTTACATGAGAGTGTAGTAAATAAAGTGCTCACAGTCTCAGATGCTTTACCAGGACAATTCATCTCATGTGTAACAAACATAAATATGAGCAAGCAGTGATTCTCTGTTAGTCTTGCCAAGCATTCCTTTAAAACAAATGTCGTTATTTTCCAATTATGAGTTTAAATTTCAGTAAACAAAACTCAGCAAATCTGCTCATACAAGCCATGGGTTATATCCAATATCTGTCTGCGGGTTTCATATTTATCAAGAAGTACAAAACACGTAGATGGGCATTGGATGTAATCCATGGCTTTGTGGGAACACTATTGTTGCGTTTTGTATGCTGAAATGTTAAAAACGTAATTGGTAAATAAAGATGTGTTTTAGAGCTTGGCATGTGTAAAACTATATATATATATACACACACACACACTATTTATGTGTACCTTATTGATTTGTACATTAACATGTTTTCCTGTTCATAGGTCATCATATATCAAGCAATGTCCACTCTCCTGGTGCCATGATTCACGTACCAGCAAGCATGCAACAAGGGATTATGGGTCTGAACACTATGACATCTCATGGATCCACGGTAAATCATTTAAACGTGTGATCTGAAAAATAGCAACAACATGTAAATAAAGATGCCTTTTGTTATTCTGCAACTTTATCATTATGTCTTTACTTCCTCATCATCAGATTAGCCAGTATAATATGGCTGGACATTTGTCTCCAAGTCTGCAGTCTCAGCAATCTATGTACCAGTCTCATACTCATCAAATCTATGCACTTTCTCAGGAATCCCAACAGGTAAAGAACTTTTTCCTATTAGTTTATGGTTTACAATCACATTTGTTAAGCTTATAAACAACCAGTTAAAAGAAAATTCCAAGCACCTTAACCACTACAGCATAAATATTCAAACTATTTGCTAACAGTTTGACAACTTACCTGGGGTCCAGCAGTGCCGGGCTTAGCTTATTGGCTGAGAGAGATCAATTGAACCGCTTAGCGTTTTAATTAGAGATTAGCTAATGGATGCTCAGTGTAGGAAGTGTCTGGCATCTGGCAGACCCAAGATAAGTTGTCAAACTGTTTTTTAAATAGTTTGACTACTTACATTGGGTAGCACCAGGGTGCCCTTTGCACCATAACCACAACAGTACATTGTAGTAATTATGCTTCTTGGAGTGTACCTTTAAAGCAAAAGAATGTAATATACTGATAGACTAATAGACTGATATACACTAGAGTCAGGATGAAATTTATATCCAGGTAGCAGCTTAATGTTTGAGCCAGATAGCCTTCTGTGTAAACCTTACATCTGTTATTTCCAAGTCATTATTGAAGAAGCATGTCTAGCTTACTGATTATGTTAAATTTACACTAATCCGCACCTCGAATCAGTTTTCATTTTTAGCACTGGATAGTTTGCTTTTCTCTTTAAAATGACCTGTGTCTTGCTTAGGACTTTAAATCCTGAAGGCAGACTCCAGACCTCTTTAGCATTTTAGCTTGCTTAAGTGCTTAATGTATAAAGAGTGTGTCCTTTTTTTAAATGAGAAAAAAAGTGCAGATTTCAATAGAAATTGGCAGTTTATAAATTAACCTGGTTACATACCCTGGTTTTCTATCAGACAACAGGTCATTTTACCTCCTGGTTTGGCTAGTTCAGTGGAACTAAACTCAAGAGGCAGCAATTGCCCAGAGTACCTGCCTTGCAAAGACTTCTCATTGAAAGTCTGAGCGGGGTCAGAAGAGGAGGGTGTGCAAAGGCTGCAGGCAAGAGAACTGCAGGTTTTGCTAGCTACTTTTAGAAATACCCCCAATGAACAAATGCATAATTTTAGGCAGGCATGTTTTCATTGGGGCATATTTACTAAGTAGTGATTTAAATTTTTTTTTTTTAAGTGTCCATTTAATAAATAATGTGATACTTTAATGTATTAATGAGCAGATTGTAAATATAAGGAAAATGTAAGGAAGAGCAGTGTTGCTGGGGTGCAGAATTGGCAGTGGTGTCTGGTATAAAACACTGGTATGGTCATGAGCATGTCCTGAAGTGAGGTGACATTGGGGACCAAGTAATGTGAGGTTTTAACAGGGATAGAGAGTAATGCAGGATTTCCAGCTAACCTCAGACTCTGAATGTGGTTGATTCCAGTGTTCTCCAGCCGGTTTATACAGTAACTCCTACACAACACAGTCTCCGTACTCACAGCCACGCCTGGCGGCTCACTCTACCCAGGACATACACCCCAAGAACTACCCCAAACCCATCTACTCATACAGGTATCTAACTCTTCAAGTGAAAGTGTCAGAATGTAAGCCTGTCATTGGTACTAACAACTCACTATGCACTTTTATTTAACCTGCTTTTCTATTACAGTTGCCTAATCGCTATGGCCTTGAAGAACAGCAAGACTGGCAGTCTACCTGTGAGCGAGATATACAGCTTCATGAAGGAACATTTTCCTTACTTTAAGGTAATCTAGAATAGTTTTTTTTAAATCGTAATAGATGCCTCTTGGCATGAGACAGGCTGGCATGCTGATGGATGTCTCTCACCTCCTTAGAATGTCACTGAGGGCATTTTTACCATTTTATTTGACTCCAAATATTCTGTTATGATTGGAGCATAGGTTTAAGATAAAACCTGATATACCACAGCGAATAAAATTACTTCCAGTCTGACAAAATTATGCCACATCTAAAAATCCATTGGTGTTTTAGGTTAATATGCTTAATGTTATATTTGATTTGAAACACAAACTGACATAGTGTTCTAATCGATCATTATTATGGCATTCATGAAAGTGGTCAAATCTGTTGGTCTCATCTTTTTCCAGACGGCTCCAGATGGTTGGAAGAACTCAGTTCGACACAATCTTTCTTTGAACAAATGCTTTGAAAAGGTAGAGAATAAACTTAGTGGGTCCTCACGTAAAGGTTGTCTTTGGGCTCTGAATCCAGCCAAGATTGATAAGATGGAAGAGGAGATGCAGAAATGGAAAAGGAAGGATCTGCCTGCCATCCGTAGAAGCATGGCAAATCCAGGTAATAGGCCATTATTAGAGATTGATATGCTGGTGGACCCCAAGCAGCTAGAAAGATGTAATTAATGTTTTGGATGTTTTATTTCCCACAAGACCTATTTAGAATCTTATAGCTCCCAGTAAAATATTGTGAATCCCAACCTTCAGCACACTGATGTTTGAATAAAATATGTGTTCCCATCATTAACGTTTAGATGATTTTAGAGCAGTTCTAACTATCATTGATATATAAACTATTGGTCACGTCTCTCTACAGACTTGTTCCAGTCACAAAAATTTATTTTGCCATATTTTTCTTTCTAGATGAGCTTGACAAACTGATTATGGACAGGCCAGAGAACTGCAAAGCTCCAAGCAAATTAACGGAATTGGACTTACCACCAATGTCAAACATGGCGAATATTCCCGGGAGGATTCCCATGGCCCAGCTCCACCCACATCCTATCATGACATTGTCCTTACAGTCCATTCCACTACATCATCACATCCAAACTCAGTCCAGAATAGCATCAAGTTCTCCAGCTCCAGCCCAGAGCCCTCCAATCCACACAGTGCCAGACATGACTCATAGCCCAATGCACCAGCACATCATGAACAGGGCTGTATCTGACTTCCTCAACCTTAACTCGGATGTGAACACAGAGGTGGATTGTCTAGACCCAAGTATTATGGACTTCGCTCTACAAGGTAAAATTTGTGAACAGTTTGTATCAATCATATTGTGTGTGTCATGTAGTTCATTAAAAAAAAATGGAAGTAATTTAGTCCACTTTCCATTGCTTCATAGCTTTAAACCAAAACCTGCATCACATGCCTCACATTTTCCTCTTTTATCTTATCATTTAGAGCAGTGTTCTCCAACCCAGTCCTCATGGACCACAAACAGTCCAGGATTTATGTATTTCCCTGTTTTATTCCAATGGAGATACTGATAAAACCAGTCCATGAGGACTGGGTTGGAGAGCACTGATTTAGAGCCATTGTTGTGTGCATGCTTTACAAGCATTATTCCTAAAAGGGTTGCTAAACTGAACATCTGACTTTACATTTTCATTGTCAAGCATTATATAGCACCCCGTCTGTGAACAGCCTTCCAAATAGTGCAAAGTGATATAGTTTAAAATGTATTTTTCACTGTTACTTTAAATGTACACATTACAGTTTTTGTATTCATTCATATTCATTAGATGCAAACTTACTATCTCACTTCCATTCATTTAATTATTACACATTGTATGTAAACCATTATCATACTTCTAATCATATTGGATAACCTTCTTCCAGGAAATATATGGGAAGAAATAAAGGATGAGAGTTTCAATCTGGACACTTTGGGTGCCTTCACCAATTCTCCTCTGCAGCTATCCGACTGTGACTTGGGAACCATTGGTCTAACACCCGTGTCCAACAGTAGTGACCAGTCATTCTCGGACTTTCAAGTCACCAGTCTATACACCACTTATGCCAAGCTGGACAATGTGCCACCTTCTCAGTGTGTGACAGGACCTGGCAATAAGCCCATCGCCCTTCTCTAAGACACCTGCTACGGGAACCAGAGACCCCATAACTACATGTCTATGGACCAAGAACTCTATGCTCCCAGAACTGAATCCTGTTAATACATGATCCTTATGGCTGCAGGCTAGCTTTAGGGATATACCAAAAGTGACACACAGTGTGTTCACCTAAAATATTATGACTCATTCTTCTGGATTTGCCAAATTTTTGATGTCCAAAATATTCAAAACATTCATCATTCAACATTCAATGCTCGTGTGCAAGACAAAATTTCCTGTTTACACAAACAACTGATTTACGTTGGCAGTTCTGTCATTACAACTTTTCAGAGCAACACTGTATTAAACTTCATTTCACAAACACTGATTTGTGAACAGACTGGTCAGTTCAAGGTGAATATGTCTCTTGAATTTCAACGAAATTTGTTTGTTTGTTGCTTTGTCAATTTAAGAACTATTTATATATATCCTGCTGAGGATTAGATAGAGTGCACTACTGAAAAATCCTTCCTCACCAGCTGATGGTGATATATGTGACTACATGATTACTGAATTCTGAGCCCTATATTGGACATGCTACACATAAAAGGACCACAACCGAAATCAATAAAACTGGACTGTTTCTTTATGCTACTTTGTTGGCACAGCACCCTGAACCTTCAGGGCAATTATGTTCAGGTAATTTATAGTTAATATTAGAGAGACAATATTATTATGAATGTATCAAACATTGATAACATAAAACCTCTGCTTTTTTTAAAAATTAAAACAGGGTCTTAAATTACAAAACATTATAGAATTGAATGACAGGTATGATTTAGGATTTTAAAGTGACAACCCCCCCCCCCACCCCTTTCCTCATGTTTTACAAACAAGGGTTGTGTTTTATGTTACATTTTACAATAAGTCTAGAAGATATTATTTTAAAACCATTGCATGGTGTTTCCTATTTTGAGTGTAACACAACCATACAAGTAAACAGCTAAGAGAGTTCCCTCTAATGTGAAATCTCTACCACATTAGCTAAACAGAATAGTGTACACATTGGATTACTACCTCTATGCAAAACATCTTCAGCAGCAACAAGTTGTCAGAACAGTTAGAAAGATACATGGTCTTAATTAAGGTGGCAGAACCTTTGCAGATAGTGAGAGGGAAGTATTTCAAGTCATGGAAGTAGGAAGGCAACATCATTGGTACTAGTTGTTGACTAGAGCTGGGATACCTGCTCCAATGAAAGAAAAAAATATATTTTATTAGTGACCCATTAAAAAGTCATATTAAAATGGTATAAATTGTTCACGTGTATAACATACTGTAAAGTATGCAATGAGGAACTTAACTGCCTAATGCACTGTATCTCAATAAATATTTAATCATAGAAATTCAGGGTAACAAACACCAGGACATTGGAAAGAATGGCCCCAACTTATATATAATAATTGGAAGGTAGTAAGCAAACACTAAACAAAATATGCATAGGCAAGCTGCCATGATTAAATGCTACTTGGTTTGGTGTTTGGCTGTTTTAAGTACAGTTATAATTCTTAATGGTAAAAAAAAAAAACAACACATTGCAGTTGCCAGTAGAGGATAAAAATATATTTTTATCTTTATATATATTTTTTTGTTATGAATCCACTCCTTGGAACATCAGCTGAATTAACACTAAACACAACATCTTGTGAAAAGGGTGGCTGTGTCCCTTTAATCATACTACTCAAGTCTTTTTAAGTAGGTGCCAAAGAGGTGTTTTTACTCCTCCTCGTGTTCTAGTTCAGCCAGCAGGATCCCATTAAAGGAACACTCCATTGCAACTTTTACCTATTTAATAGATATACCCCCAAGAAAATATGCATGTAATTTTTTGTGCCCTGCATATTTTCTTTTGGCGACATATGAAAAACAGCTTTCTGCAGCCATTGCTTGCGCTCCACTTTTTCCCAAGCACAGACTTTCACCTTACTCCACTCAGAGGCTTCCTATGGAAAAGGCTCTATGCTTGCAATCACAATTTCCTAATGCTTCTTAATTATCTATAGTGCATATTTTTGAGATGGGGCATGGCACGCCTAGAACTTCTGTTAGCTCTGTGGATTGCTTTTGAAATCAGCACTTTTATTAATGGTCAAAAACACAGATTCCACATACATAAACTGCTTTATGTTTTTTTGGAGTGTACGTTTAACACAAAAGTGCCCATCACTTTAATGAACATTCCTAATTTCTCAAAATGTGTACATTTCTGAATTTCTCAAAACACATCAGGAAAATTAATTATCGCTTAACTTTAAAAATATGTGTCTTCTTCCTCTGTTTTGGTTTATTTTCTATAATTAATGAGATTGTACACATGAACAATAAATAATTCTATTGATTTAGAAAACATATGACCAATACCCCATATCATGATTTACATTGGTTAAGGTTTATTTATTTTTAACAAAAATCAATCTTCTACTGTCGCTGCTGGCTATTTGGCTCTTCACACATGAATAGAGAGCAGTACACAAACCTAATAAGTCAAAACATGTTCCAGGTATACATATGTCTGAATGTTAGTGTCTTCAATGTTATGAATACAGATTGCTGTACCTTATTCAGGTAGCCAACACTACTCCTAAACTACCTTTGCTTATAACAGTTTATGAAGGTGTAACCAGAGTCTAGATGGCTTCTCTTGTGCACCGTTGTGAAGCTTCCATGACAGCACAGCCAGTAGGTTTCCAATAATGTCAATGTCGACCTGCTTATAACATATTGATGTTTGTTTGGAGCACTAGTGTGAATTGCATTTGGTTATTTAGATGATGCACTCAATCAGACCAACTGCATGCATAAAATGCACTTAATATACTGTGTAATGTCTTCAACTGAATTATACAATTAACTATTCATTTTTCCAATAAACATTATTCCTTTGTGTTACTAACAAGGAGAGTTTGTAAATGGGAGATAACTTAACCATTAACCATATTAAGCAATTGCAGACAGACTTGTTTAATAAAAATAATAAAACTGTGAAGAGACCGTAAACCATAGAGATGGCTTTTTCTACTTATTTATATCCAATAACATTGTATAAAAAACCCAACAGTCAGATATTGCAATCAAGGAACAAACAAAAGAGTGCATGGTTGCCATGTTATGTTTACTCGTAGACGGTCAGGTCATTGAAACATGGCTAAAAGATATTAAAAGTCAAAACATGGACAGCAAGAGAGTGCTTTGTCATGTTGGTGCAGACAATTTATTAAACCGTTCCTTACTGTGATTGTATTCTTCAGATCTGCAGACTAGAAACGCTTTATTTTTTACTTCATGTCTGGTTATTGAATATGTTTGCCTCTTATTTCTACACATAAAGAATCACTAAACTGTACTTTATTTTTATTTTGGATACAAACAGTTAAGTAGAAATATGCTACTTTTTTTAGAAAGTTTACCACTGTGGCCTCTCCGACTTTTGTATCACATTGAAATCATACGAATTTTAAAATTGTGGATTTTGTACCTGAACCTTGTTTGTAGGTTTATAGGATAGCACAAGTTAATTTGAATTGTTTTTATTTTTTATAAACATTATAAATATTGTACTAGGCAGTATTATATGTACATTTATTTATATTTATTACTGTGAAAAAAATCTGTAAATTAAGCAGTTTATTTTTTTCTGTCAAAAGTCTGTTTTGTATGTTTAGTAAAGACCTCATTCAGTAATGGACTGGTGTTGTTCTTCAAAAACAAAGTGTGGCTTATTTTATTTTAGCTATAGGAAAAAAACATTGCCTCTTAATCATACATATTTGCTTAAAAAGCAGGTTCAAAATAAATAAATGAAAGGTTTTTTTTACTTAGGATGCCTTTACTAAAGTACATCCAAAATATATATATATATATATATATATATATATATATACAATTTAAAAAAGTGAAAAGTAAATTTTTGTCACAGTTGTGTCTATAATCATTTGCACAAACATACTGCAGCACAATACCTGAAAATAATGAAGTAACCTGATAATCCTACGATGTTCATCTATTTAGGCATTTATACGTCATATATTACAAGGAGTACATTAATGTTTCGATACTAGAAGTTTTCAGAATTTAGCATGAAGGAACTGTAACCTTTGTAGAATACAAATAAACCAAGTCCACCATACAAAAGTGGACACATCAGAGCATTTACCATGGGATATTTTGATACATTTCCCAAAAAACTATTGCTTGCATTTCTCCTGTGTATTCCATATATCTCATGTATGCTACTGCAGTAAAAAATAAATAAATGTGATCAGCTGCATCTCAGTTGTACAGCAGTACCTACTATGTATACCACTGCCAGGAATTGTCGAAATTACAGGGTTATATGGAAATTGAAACCTGCACAGTTTATTTCAAACATGGAATTTAGCAAGATGCATGTGATAGACCTATGTCTTATATTAGGGCATTTTAGCAGCACACAAATTTACATTATGGCATACCATTCACGGACGTAGACACACAGTGATATCTTATTGTCAGGATTATTTACTGACCTGAATTTTTGCAAATTAATTTTAAATAGCAAAACTGATGCAAAAATAGCCAACCTGTGACTATATCGGAGTTGAAATCCCCCTCCCACCCCCCCCCGGATTAATGTGGTTTTACTTTCGGTATCCATTTGTGAAAACTCACAGCCATTTTTTTCATAATGATAAAAGTTACAGACCACAACCTCTTAAATACATGTATACTGTAACACTATTTCCACCATAATCTTGAATCACTCATAACCTTATGTTCCCCTAATACTAAATAACTGTCTAAATCCTCTAATCTACCCAAACCTAGATTTCCAAACACTGTGTGTACCCTAAGCTAGCACTAACACTAACACTAGTTCGCTGCATAACCAGGGATGTACAGCATCCGACAGGTGATATCACTGCAGGATACAAAGCACGAAGCGGTCTGTAAGCTATCTGCACTGTGTGACTACAGAATGAGAAGATTATGATTTTTTTTTATTATCTCTGTGCCAAAGCACACACTGTGCTACAATCAGAGCTCTGTACTGACCACACTTCGACATGTGTGATCAGACAGAAGTGTTCAGGCAGAAATGATTTTTCAGATGCAGACAATCTCAATCTCATCAAGATCATGCCAGTGATGGTCACCAGGTCGCAGCAATCCGATTTTTGTCATGTTACAATAAAGGATCTGTTTTAAATGACCATACCAGTACATCCTTAGGAGGTTTAAACTCACAGAAACTTATCATATGGTAGTAGCTGCTCCAGCAACCCAGTTTATGACCATGTGGCCTTCTCAAGGAATAACTTCACATCTCAGGAATTTCCCTGGTTCTACAGTTGAACACCAATGAGTAAACCATATATATATTATATATATTTATGAGAAATGATTGGTCTGTTGTATTTATGAAGCTATCAGTGCTATTATGTACAAAACCTAATGCCACAGTGGTCTAGATATTTCTACCATGGCAGACTAGAATTGGTAGCCAAAATAATCCCCCACTGATTCTAAGGTACTTTCCAGAAATTTTGTTTGTCATTGTGGCGTTGATTTCATATTTTTGGATAAGCTTTTCAAATGATTTTTGCAAAATACTAACATATATCTAAATATCAATACAAACACACACACATATATACACAAACATTTCAAAACTATTAAAATAATAAATAATTTGAAAATCTTATCAAAAACAATAAATTAATATATTAAGCATATTATATTCGAACACTGAGTCTCAATTAAAGAAATGGGTTCTCCGCGATAAAACCATGTATATATAAGTTTAAGAACATTAATTTGAGAAAAGCTGCTGTCTGCAAGAGATACTTCAACAAAATACAGACTAAAATGATTGTCTTAGTATCAGAAATCAAAAACCAGACAATATATGGTGCATAAGCAATTGATTTACCAGTGGTTCTGCAATAATGCAATTACAGTTGTAGACACATTTTCTTGTAAAAATACAGATTTTTATATTTTTTTAAAGAGCTTATTTTTAGCTAGAGTCCTTTGTTTTCATATGACAAACCCACTGGTGAAGAGATCCACTAACAATTGTGTTTTCCCTGTGAATGCCAAAGAAGTGAACAAGGCATAAGGGTTTATTCACTAAAGCAGTAATTCCAACTTGGCTCTACTAGCCTAAATATTACATATTTTCAGTTTAAAGAACACATCTAATGGTAATGCCTTGTTCACCGGTGACACACAAAGGATGTGAGTAACACAGAAAGAAACTCCTTCCTGAGGTCGAGAAGACTGGATAAATAAAAATACTCTTTAGTTGAACACAACAATCATATACAAAATTAATGTAACTCTTTCGGGGCCAGGTCAATATGTAGAGTTTTAAATTTAGCTTAACATGTAAATGATTCATTCATAACATTTGTGCGTATATATTGCGTCTAATTTCATTGTCAGCACCAGTCACAGAAAACCACAATAAAGAATCATGAATCATGGCGATTGTACTTTGAGGCAAAGTGCGTTAGTGTAACAGTACATGACAGTCCTGCATTCAGAATATGAAAGTGAGTAGCTGGAGGGAATCCTTTAAAATATTTTTTCTGTACAGATGTGGAAGTGCAAAGTGGTAATAACACTGGAATTGCATAACTGCGGTAGCCAGAAGATGGGACAGAGTGCACTTTGGTTGTTCTTTATTAAGGCACCTGTTGGCTCAGTTTACCAGCCGTGATGCTGTGGACGGAAGTTTATTCCCATCATTTTCTGTCAAAATTTATGTGGAGGTATTAAGATGTTCCTGCTTCTTGTGTCAACTGGAAGGGGCACTGTCCACAGTCGATAAGAGCTTGGCCAGCTGAGCTCTTTGAGCGGGAGTGATCTGCTGAGTCATGTGGACAATGCAGTCCATGGCTACTTCAGGGTTAGCTTGGATCAAACTGTGGAAAGTTGAAGTGATTATGAATTAGAGCTAAAAAATAACCTATTACATCAACAAGCCTATATTGCTAATATATTGGAGATATGGATGAGCAACACAGTGCTTTGCTGTTCCAATCAAATGTTGCGATCAGTAACATTTGGTTACTTAGAGAAAGTAGAGCCCATAGGGTAATGAAGAGACACAATGATGGTAGTATAAAAAATAAAAAAAACGGTCGATAAATAATAGTATATTTATTTGTTCACCAATAAATTTCGAATATTCACTGTTGCCTTGCTGCCACATTACCTATCATCAGATACAAGAAGGACTGAACATCTTGCTTTATTTAATTTGATCTTATTTTCAATCTTAAAAATGACATTAAAAGTTAAGTTTTA